CACAGTGAGCCCTAGTTGTTATAGAGGGAGAAAGCATCAGGCATCCTCAGAAATGTCAATTCTTGAAAGTAACAGGGAACAGGTACTAGAGACAAGCACATTCCAGAATTGCTGTATGGCTGAGAACATTTATGGTTCCTTCCAAGTTTCCTGAGTGGATCTGCCAGCACTTCGTTGCTATAATGAAATATGTGAGGCAGACTACTTGGCAAACATAAAAATTTATTTTGACTCATGATTTTGGAGAATGAAAGTCCAAACAGGATGATGCAGTCACCTGTAAGGGTGTCTACTGGCTGCATCATATGGTAGGGAGAGCGTGTATATATCTCTGTGTATATATGGTCTCTTTCCCTCTCCTTATAATATCACTAGGATTCTATCATGACAGCTTGACCCTAAGGACGTAATCTAAACTAAACACATTCTAAAGGTCCCAACCTTAAACACTATACACAGATTAACTCTCCATTCTCTTAAAACCATTATCATAAGACTCACTGTTTTAATCAAGTTTTTCATCACTATGAACAAAAGACCCAGCAAGAACAACTTAGGAAACATTTATTTGGCTCAGTGTTTCATAGGTTCCATGGTTGGTCAACTCCATAGCTCTGGGCCTCAGTGAGGCAGAATATTGCAGTGGAAGAGTGTCTCACAGAAAAGCAGCTCAGAACAAGGTAACCAGGAAGCAGAGAGAGAAAAATCAATACTCATCAAAAGCAAAATATAAACCCCAAAGGCCCCCAGTGATCTACTTTTCTCTAGCCACACCTTATGTGCCCACAGTTTTGACCCAGTTAATCCATATCACTATATTAATTCAATGATTAGGCCATACCTATTGTGATCTAATCATTTCTCTTATAGAAATTATTGCATTTTTTAACACTTGAACTTTATTGGACACATCATAGGTAAACAATAGCACTCATACAGGAATAATTCTTCTGAATGAATTCAGGGGGACGATTTATATTTAAACCAAAACACTAGGATTAGTGGTCTAAGACACAGTCACATTTACAATATATTCATTGGCCAAGATTAAGAGCATCCATTGGTGACCAAGACTTCTCCAAAGTCAAAGGTTCAAATACCTCTAGTGGCAAGAAGAATCTGGAGACCTCCACTAGATCCAGAATCTTGGATGAATAAGAGAGAAGTCCAAGCCTACAACCTCAGCAGGTGTCATGCAGTCCCCAGTACCATCCTTGGCAACTCTTAGAGGTGGAATGAAGTCAGGAGCAGTCAGTGGGACAATTTCAGGGAGATTCAGCGTGAAGTTATCCAGAGATTGCAAGCATGGGCCAGGGTGCATTGGTTTATCAGGATCTAGTGGGGGACCAAGGGTTGAAGATCAGGGGCACAGCAACATACAGAAGCCTTGGCAGGAAAATGGGGCCCAGCTCACACAGATACAGAATCGTTCATCAAAGCTCTATCCTCAAGCAAGGGCTGATGCTCAGAACCTGAAGCTGTGTTCCCTGTGGCCACCATTAGGAGTCCTTTGGTCTGTGTCATGACAGTAGGGTCAGGAGCCTCCAATTCCCAAGAAGAAAGACGATTGACAGTTTTGGTCCGTGACCCGATCCTTCCAGACTTTGGGAAGCAACCCTTAACTGCAGTCCTGGGCTGCATATAACCATTTGGGGATGATATGCTACAGGACGCAGGACATATTGGGGTGCAGCCACGACTCCCACAGCCTGTGGCTACAGGACATTTGAGGCATCTTTTTCGCTGCCTGCGGAGGTGTCTCAGGCTAGGCGCCAGTCTCCCAGGAACCTGTCTCTCTTTTGCTGATGCGGTGGGCTTGTTGTGGTCCAGAGCTGCTGGGTCTTGCCAGAGTGGGAAATGTCTCAGGCTGGGGGACTCTTTCCTACGTGAAAGGACGTCCCTCCAGGTGGTCATCGCCTGTCTACCAGGCACTGTAGGCTCAGTGTGGTCCACTACCGCCCTGTCTTGCCCGCATTTCCACAGCTCATAGCGCTCTGGTTGCAGGATGCGCACAAAGGGGTCCATGGAGAAGCTGACCCTGAACTTCCCACAGCTGCACTGAGACGCCACTTTGCCATAATCAATCCATCGCGGAGTGGCGAAATTGATGGCCTCCGCACAGTTGAAGCCATGGTTGAAGCCAGCATGGTAGCCATAGGGAAATGTCACCATGAACTCACCAGCCTCCTGAGTCACGCGGTTGAAGGGAATGCCATTCTCATGGAGGACTGTGGGCGACATGAGGGCCACCTTGTGCCTCATGAAGGCCTCACAGCACTGTGAACTGCCCGGGAAAAGGTCCCTGGCCAGGCGCTCCAGGCGCTGCCCGTGTTCAGGGGGCACCGCGTACCACGTTTTGGGCTCCCCAAAGTGCAAGTAGTTGATGCTGTAAAGGTCCATGTCTTCCGTGTGCCACGCAAAAGTGGTCTTCCACATGCCAAAGTACAGGTAGGGCCTGTTGACACCCTCAATGACAACTCCACATTCCTGCTCCAACAGGTCCAGAATGGTTCCCAGGTGTCCCAGGTTCCACTCCTTAGTGTTCTCATCAAATAAGGAACCACTGATGTCAGCACCATAAATTGGTGAGTCATACAGGCGGCTCTTCCAGTACTTTCTCTCCAGATCTTCAAAATTCAGGTGAAGGGGAGTTCTATACTTTTCACTGTCTGCCAGGAGGTGATACTCTCTCACCGTCATGGGTTTCTTCTTTTTGTGGTATTGAGTGAACATACCTGCCTTCCCAGAGACCACCTGCTGCAGGGGAGTGGCTATTAAGATGTCACTGACATCATCATAGGACTGCCTGGCTCTCCATTCCTTGGGTGGAATTACCTTGGCCAGGCCAGCTCTGTGTGCCCCTTGGGATTCCATGTAGGCAATATAATTGTTGAAATCTGAGAATTCTTCCATGGTTGGGTGGAATGTCATAATGGTGGAACTACTTGTCTGGGTACCAGAGTGAGCAGACTTCATGGTGCAATATTTTCGGCAACAGATTCTACAACCTTAGATGTATTATAGATTCCTGAGAATGTTTGGTTATTATTTCTTCTCCTTGTCTTCTTCCTCCTTCTTTTCTTTCCTTCCTTCTTACTCCCTCCTTCCTTTCTTCTGTTAAGTATGTTTGTTTACCTATGAAGCAGTAACCCAGTCTTGAGCCTCCAATTCAATGATATATCATATCGTTTCCAGCTTTGCTGGTTCACCAAAAGTACTCTATTCTGATCAGCGGATAGTTTACTCAGATAAAATATAGTATTTTCCAGTGGAGTAGGTACCACAATCTAAGAACTGGCTCAGCCTGCAGCTCAGCGAGTTTCCCTTTGTTGGGTCTGTAAGGAATGATAATGATCAAATTATACTTATATTGTGAGCAGGTACAAATATGTAACAAATGCAACTATTATAGCAGAGCATTGTGGCCCACTCGTGTAATCCCAGCAACTTGGGAGGCTGAGTAGAAGGATCACAATTTCGAGGCCCGCCTCAGCAACTTAGGAAGATGCCTGAACAACTTCGAGAGACCCTGTCTCAAAATAAAAAATGAAAAGAGCCTGGAAATGTAGCTCAGTGATAAAGCACCCCTAGGTTCAATTTCTAGCACCCCCTCGAAATTAAATCCAACAATCAAGTGGAATTTTAATGTAGCTATAAAAATATTGGGGGAAAAAGCTAATCCCCAAACCCTATACTCATATCATTTTGTAAGTAGATTCTCTTACTTTCTTTTCTATAATCTTTTTAGAATGATTTGGGTTTATGAGGCCATTAGCATAACCTTGATGCCAAAACCAGAACAAGCCCCACTGGAAATCCCATAGGTCAACTTTTTCTAATGGCAAACTTAAAAAATATTAAAAAAGAAATAAATGAAATCTTTAATGTAGCTGGGTATTAAAAGAATAATACACCACAAAGGTTTTGTTGTTTTATTTGTTTAGATATTTTAAAATTAACCTTTTAAACTTTGGATACTTAAGGCTTTAGAGGGAAACCCCAATTTTTCACTATATAGCTTTGTACAAAACTTGAGTTATGTAAGATTTAAATGAAAATATACTATCAAGAAAAAATAAATAAATAGAAGGTTAATCCTACTTCATGGTTTTCAGGATGATTTAAAAATCCAGCAGTGTAATGGAAAGCAGTATGGAGATTCCTCAGAAAACGTGGAATGGAACCACCATTTGACCCAGCTATCCCACTCCTTGGTCTATACCCAGAGGACTTGAAATCAGCATACTATAGTGATGCAGGCACATCAATGTTTATAGCAGCTCAATTCACAATAGCTAAGCTGTGGAAGCAACCTAGATGACATTCAACAGATGAATGGATAAAGAAACTTGGTATATATACACACACTAAAATATTACTCAGCATTAAGAGGATAAAATTATGGCATTTGCAGGTACATGGATGGACTGGAGAGTAACATGCTAAATGAAATAAGCCAAACAAACAACACAAAGGCCAAATGTTCTCTGTGATAAGCAGATGCTGGTCCATAATTAGGAGTGGGGGTAGTGAAGAATAAAGGAAGTTTAAATTGGGCAGAGGGGAGTGCAGAGAGAGGAGGGGGTGTGGGGTGGGAAAAGTGGTGAATGGACATTATTATTCTATATACATGTATGATTACACTACCCGTGTGACTCTACATCATGTTCAGCCAGAGGAAAAAGTTGTGTTCCATTTGTATACAATATGTCAAAATGCATACTACTGTCATGTATAGCTAATTAGAACAAATTTAAAAGTAAAAAATAAAAAGAAATAGTACATATTAAGAAAAAAATCCAGTAGTGTAACTGTTTACACAAATAGTTGAAAAAAGGATATTATTTCATGAGAAATAAAATTAAAATAACTTAATCTCTAATAATTATTTGATATACATTATGTATGTTTTAACTCTTAATTTTTAAAAAGAGGTAGAAATTCCCTTCATGAAGAATACTTTGTAGCAGATTTCAAACAGAAA